ATGCCTGTAATCCCAGCACTTGGGAGGCTGAAGCAGAAGGAATGCTTCATGTTTAAGGCCACCCTGGGCTACGCAGTTTCAAAAAAAAAAAATAAATAAATAATTCTGGCCAGCTATGGTGGCACACAGTTTTCATCTTGGAAAGCTGAGACCAGAGGATTACAAACTTGATGTCAAATTGGGCAACTTAGCCTTAAAATAACAAACAAGTAGAACTAGGGACATAGCTCAATGTTACAATGTCCCTGGGTTTCATCCTCAGCACTGAAAAAAAAAAATGTGGTAGTATACGCCTGTAATACCACCACTCTGTGGGAGGCTGAGGCAAGAGAATCACAAGTTCAAGACCAGCCTGGGCAAATTAGAGACCTTGTTTCAAAAAATGGGAGGTGAGGGGCTGGGGATTCAGCTCAGTGCAAAGGCCCTCAGTTCAATCTTCAGTACCACGTTAAAAAATAATAATAATAATGGAGTACTACTACTACATGAAGAAGGATAAATGTGAGTCATTTATAGGATCTTGTGACCATAATGTTAAGTGAAATGAATCAGACACACAAACTTAAATAGCGCATGGTTTCTCTTATATGAAAAACCCAAAGCACCGTATAAAGAAAAGGTAGATAATAGGAAACAGGAAAATAAGATGGTTTCCAATAGGGAAGGGGACCAAGAGATAGAGGAGGGAAGAGATGAAAATAAGATTTAAGATGTGTTATGCACATGTACCAGCTCCCCATGAAGAATGTAACCACGGGTGTGAATATGTATTCATAAAAAATTAAAACTGAAAAAAATCTATCTAGATGCTTAAAAATTCCTTAAGGTTAAAACTTACACAGCCACACAAAAACAGTGTTACTATAGGCCAATGCTTCCTTTTCCTATTTTTTTCATTCATTACTTCACTTATTATAAGGAAAACAGGTGATTTCCAAACTGATGCTGAATTAAACCTGATACTTTCATTTACCCAACCATCACTTGGTGACTGAGTACCTACAGTGGGCCACTGCTGTTTTAAACACAAAGGATGGGGCCAGGGATTTAGCTTAATGGTTGCACCACTTGCCTTGCGATCCCTGCTACCAAAAATAAATAAATAAATAAAATAAACACAAAGGATATATAGATAAGTAAGGCATGAATCTCGCCCTAAGATTTTACAGTCTAGTCTAATAAATAATATGCTATCCAGGAACACAACTCACTCTTAATGTCATACAACAACACTAATAATAACACGGGCCACAGATGCAAGCTGTGTAATTTTCTAGCAACCACACTTTTTTTTGGGTACTGGGGATTGAACTCCGGTCCTTGCGCTTGCAAGGAAGGCGGTGGAACCACTGAGCTAAATCCCGGGCCCACAACCACACTTTTTTAAAAAGCAAAATGGAACACAAAATTGTAATTGCGATTTTAATTTTCCATATTACTTTAAACTTCAATGTATAGTTTATCCTTAAGACTATTTCAAATCAAACTAGTTACATTTCAAGTGTATCAGATGGCACTGTTACACAGGATAGACCTATCTTTTTAGAAAATTGACAATAATTTGGCAGTTACAGGTACGGGCAAAGTAAGATACCAGAAGGAGGCTGGAACATGTCTATAGGTTAAAGTAAAAGAGAAAAAGCAAGCATTGTAATGATAATTGATAGGGGCTGTGGGAAGAAAGAGCAGGATCAAAAGAACAAGTGGATTGGTTAGCTTGAAAAAGAGCAGGGTCGAGAGGGGAAGGATTAAACAAACACGGAAGTAAGTGTGCTAAGTGTGAGGGGTGAGAGAATAGAAAGCTGAAGAGTTATGGTTAAGAGCTTTCCATTTTTCTCTGTGAGTCAGAAGACAATCTTAGCCTCCTTCCTCAACCGACAATATAAATTCCAAGGGACTACATTTATAGAACCATATAAGAAACAGTTATCATGGTATGACGTATTAAGTTGTGCTTTTGTATAAGTGCAGTCATTTTCTAATTTGCTTCTGGGGTGGTCAATTTTGAATTTTGTCACTTTACCTTTAAACACAGAAATAATACTATAAATCCATTCCTCCTTTCCTTGCTTATTATTTACTCAGCAAACATGTACTCAATGCCCACTATGCCAAATGTGAGGTACTGAGCAGAGATAAGGTTCTCACTTTCATGTGTGTAGCACATTATACTCTCTGAACACAGTAAGTGCTCTGAAAACAAATTACATTCTCCTGTAAAGAAATATTACATGTTAACTAAAATAGACGCTGACAAAGACCTTCATGTAGAAGTCTATCAGTGCTGTCCAATAAAATTTTCTGATAGTGAAAACATTCTGCTCTGAAATGTCTATGGTAGCCACATGAGCTAGAATTTTAGTTGTAATGGCCATGCGTAGTTAATACCTACCATTTGGGCCTAAATATTACAACACAGAGGATAGCCAATGGCATTGCCACTGTTATAATCAGGGAGCTGTCATCTCTAATGAGTTAATATACATTATGCTGCTAAAAACAAGTGTACTATGAATAATGCTAACTGTACCAGAAACACACACTAAGAAAATTTTTCACGTAAAGTAACTTGAGGACTGCAAGCCAGAAAAGAAGAGAGGAAAAAAAAATAAAGAAAAAGAAGAGAAAGGATATTCTAGTCTTTTCTATTTGCTCTACTTTCCCAAGGGAAAACATCAATTTCCTGCAAAACTCTAATTTTTCTCTTCATGAAAAGTAGTAAAAATACTTTGTAGAGATAAAGAGTCAATCTTTTTTCTTAATTAGAAAAAATAGAGCATAGGAGTTGTTTCTACAGCAAACTGGGAGTAAACTTTTGTCAGAAAATTTATGTTTTGAAAATCAGGATTTGTAAAATGAATAAAGTGTGCCCGTAACTCTCAAAAACCTGTCCCTGACATCTATCAATTTTCCTAAACTTCTCTCATTTATCTGAAAGTTAAAACTAATGCTAGGCCAGGTGTAGTGATGCACACCTGTTATCCCAGCCCAGGCTGAGGCAGGGGGATCAGTGTGAGTTCAAGGTCAGCCTGGAGTACATAGTGAGTTCAAGACCAGTCTGAACTATATAGTGAGACCCTGTCTCAAAACCCCCCCCCCAAAATCCAAAAAAACCCCCAAACAAATAAACGCTAAAACACATGGTGACTCAACTCATTCAGGAAAGTATAGTCTAAAACAGACTTTGAATTGAATAATTCCTGGCAACTAGAATTAGCTGTTTATGACTGGGAGAGTACAATATACTTTGATCACCTGGTGTATCCACTGTCCTTAATGTATAATTTAAGTGACTACACCAACTTTATCAGAGATACAAGGTCCTACACTGGCCCAGGTCTAATTACGTATTAAGAAGATCTGATAACTTAAAAGTAAAACTAGTGAGGTGAGCAATTGAATGTCAGAGTAGCATTTTTTATGCACAGCAACTTGTTCAACTTGTTAACTATCCAGTAAGACAGCTAGCTACCTTATAAATTAACCACACAACTTCCAGTCCTTCCTTTCAGTTGTGTTCAGATTTTCTGTGTTGAGATGAGAGTGATTATACACCCAGGATTTGAAGCTAACAAAATTAACTAATAATGAGAAATGGTATCTTAATCTATTAAGTAGAAGCTTTACAAAAATTATTTAGTGACATAAAAACATTATCAGATAAATATTAAATCAAGTGTCTGTACCCCAAGACTTGGCAAATCAAAAGCATGAGATCATATCTGCAATAATTAACTTCCAGAGTCAAATTAATGTGCTAAAGCTTACTGCAACAAAGCCAAAGGATTACAACAATATGGTATTACGATGACATCATTAGCTTGGTTTCCTAATAAAGCAAATTTACAGTTAGCTAAAAATAAAGACTCAACATTTGTATGAAGCAGGGAGATCTAGTTTTCTTTATAGGTTTTATTTTTCCTCGAGTGACGTTCACTGAGAAAAACGGAGTTAACAGAAGGCTGATGGAAACACCATACTTGTTAGTCTTTAATATTAAAATGCAGGAAAAAACAGGTATCAGTGTTTCAGTTCCACAAAAAATAGTTTCTGCTTCACATTTACCACTGCCTTTAGAACTAGCAAATAAAAACACTGAACTCTAGAAGCACTTAATGAGATTTGGAAATTAAACAGTAAACTTTATCACCACACAGATAAGGTAAGGATTTTTCAGCTAAGTAATTCCTGTCCTAATTGTCCCCATTGCCTTAGTGCTATATTTTCTGGGCTGCACTTGCCAGAAAGCTGGAAAGATTTTTCTCCCAATTAATTCTGGGAAAGGTGGAGTTTTTATATGCCTTGAATCACCCCTTCCTAAAACTTCATTGCCATTCCTTTTCTCTCTTTTTTCCTTCCAGATGCCTCAATAACACTGAAAAGTTAACTGATATAAACCTGTCTGGCTCAAACTTCCCTGAAAACAGGAAAATTTCTAAAAATGTGTGTTTCACATAAAAGTTTCGCTTGGGGTAGGGTGAGGACAGGGTAAGAAGGAAACCACAGTCCTTCCTAACTACGTGTCTCTTCCCCGAAAGTAGGCGAAGAGTCGGCATCTCTTTCCCTCCCTCCTGTAGGTCTGGGCGAAACAGCCCTTCCTCCCCCGGGAGCGGGCGACCGCCATCACCGCGAGCCCCGCCGAAGTCAGCGGCCACAGGGGGCTGAGGATAGCCCTTCTGCCCCTCACAAGGACCGGTCCCCAACTTCCACGAGCAGGAGACGCGAGCCTCTCCGGTCCCCGAGACCCACTTCAGCGCAGTGGCCCCGGTCGCTCCCTGGCGGGGGGAACCCATGCAGCTCGCGACCGCGGGCAGCAGGAAGGCAGAGGGAAGGCAGCGGGAAGCGGCTGCGCGGGCTCCTCGGCTCCGGCCCGCGCCAGTCGCCACCTCCACTGCCGCGGCCTAGCCCGGCCTCGCGCCGCCGGCCCTTCCCACCCCCCACCTCTCGGCCCCGAAGCCGCTCGGTCGGACGCGCGGGGATCGAGGAACGGGGCCACCTACCAGCTGCTGGCGGACCCAGCGCCACATGCCCGGCCGTCGCCGTCGCGGCCCCGCGGGGCGCGGGCGCCGAGGGGCTGCGGGTGAAGGCCGAGAAGCCAGAGGGGGCAGCAGGCGCAGCCCCTTGCGCTCAAGTTCCGCTCTCGCTGGTGCCGCCTCACTCCCCGCGCCGGGGCCCCATCCCGCCGCGCGGGCCCCGAGGTCCTACAGGCGCAGGCCCGGCGCCGCCCCCGCCCGGCACAGCTGACTCTGTCGCCGCGCCGCTGCCGCCTTCATGATTGACCGTTGTCACCGAAGCACCCCCACCCCCGCCCGGGCCGGCCTCCGGCCCCACCCGGGCCCGCCCCCGGCGACCCGGCCCGCCCCCCGGACGTGACGAAAAGGGGTGCGCGGCGCGAGGTGCCCGGTTGTGCGGGGCTGCTGCTCCGAGCGGGGCCCGCGATACTTCGGGCGCGGAGGCGAGCGGGCTCCAGGCTGGCTCCTGACGCTGTCTTGGGCCTCTGCCGCCCTCCGCCTGCCCGGGGCTGGGCGCGCGGGGAGGCGGCCACGCTGCTGTCGCTGCCTCCTGTTGCAGACCTGTTTCTGGCTCTCTGCCTTCATTGGCGCTCGCGCCCCCCAGCAGGCATAGTCTGGAGTGTCAGAGACTGAAGTTTAGTCCCCAGAGGTCCCCGTTTTGGTTCGATTACGTTGGGAAAGGCATTGTCTTAACACAGAACTAAGCCCCGTTCCTTAGCAAATGGCTGAGGTGGAGCTGGGCAGGGTTGCAGGTCCCCTGTGTCTGTGCCAAGCCCTCACCAGTGTTTCCGGGAGAATGGGCGAGACATTATGTGTTGCTGTGCCAGACTGGATAGGCAGGAGAAGTACTTTCTACGGAAGGGTAATTGTTTGCTTTTCACTGCCAAACTCCGGTAATCAGAAACACCCTAGAAGTAGTTTGGTCTAGGTAACCTAAGTGTGACAAGGTAAGAAGGGATATAGAAGCAGCTGGAGCGAGGCTTCACTTTACTCAAAAGCGGCCCCATTTACATCTTGTATTAGGATCTATATTGTGTGCAGTATTTTTGATGCATTAAAGCACACTTCAGCAGACGTTCGTGGTTAAAAAAAGCATTAAGCAAAAACATCTAAATCTAGATTAGCATGACTAGGCAAGTCTTTGCATATGTATACCAGTCTTTCAGTTTTGGTAGGCATTTTTTATTATATAATGGTTATCCAGCACCAGAAATAGAACCTTTCTTTCAGGATATTTGGGATCTATAAAACCAGCAGTGGGATTTTATATTATAATTCATCTAGTTTCAGAAATAGCTGGATATTTAAAAAGTAACCTTTATTTTTGTTCTTTTGACTGAACCTGATTTTGTGACAGTAAAATAAAATTCCAGATACATTTACCTATTTGTTATAGTGACAAAACATTCGTATCATTTAGTGGACAACTGTGTCCCAGGACCTGTATTAAACCCCACTTGCATACTTTAACTTTTTTTCCCATGTACTGGAGATTGAACCTGGGCCTTACACATGCTAGGCAAGTCCTCTTCCTCTAAGCTGCATCCCCAGGCCCTCCCTTTTTATTTTGAGACAGGTTCTCAGTAAATGCCAGGCCAGCCTCAAATTTGCAATCCTCTTGCCTTGGCCTCCCAAGTAGCTGGATTTACAGGCATGTGCTACCTTGCTGGACTACAGGCTCTAATTTAACCCACATCAATCCTTTGAAGTAAGTACTAGTCCAATTGTATGGATACAGAAGTGGAGACCCAGGATAAGTAATTTTGCAAAGCTGGGATTCAGATTCTGTTTGGTCAGGCCACAGAGCACATGCTTCTAACCTATGTCAAGAAATACACACAACCATACCTACTTGTATTCATCTGTAAGTAGTTTGGTTACAAATTAGGCCCGGAAATTTTTATTTATATGCCACTAAAATTTGTCAAGATAACATAAGAAACAGCAATCTAGGGGACACTTCAGGCATCATTATTTAACTGCGTCCCGAATTTTGAAAGATAGAAGTGTGTGTGTAGGGGTGTGAGTCTAAGTGCTATGGCAGAATGTGGTAGAAAACGATGTCAAGATAACTAGTGTATCATACTGGAAGGTATAACTGTCAGGAACAGAATGAGCAGCCAAGCAGTATTTTGTCCTAAGCATTTTTCAAGAGAAGTATTGCACATATCCTATTGATACCTGGATTGTAAGATAGGAGAGGGATAGGTTTGTTTGAGATGGGGTCTTGCTATGTTGCTCAAGCTGACCTTGAGCTCTCATCCTCCTACCTCCTGCATCAGCCTCCTAATTAGCTAGGATTTAGGGGAATATATATACATATATATATATACACACACACACATATATATATACATATATGTACACACACACACATATATATATACACATATATATATATTTTTTTTTTTGAGACAGGGTCTCGGTATTAGTTCAGGCTGGCCTTGAACTCACTGTGTAGCACTGGCTGGCCTTGAACTCAAGGCAATCCTCCTGCCTCAGCCTTCCAAGTGCTGGGATTACAGGCATGGGCCACCATTCCTGGCAGGAGAATATTTTTATACTATAGTCATAACCCTTCAGTGTGTCACAAACAGGTTTTAAAAAAAACGAAAACCCAGGCATGATGGCACACAGCTGTAATCCCTGTGTGGGAGGCTGAGGCAGGAGGATGGAAAGGTTGAATTCTGCCTGGGGAACTTGTCAAGACAGTGTCTAAAATTTTTTTTAAAGAGCTGGGGAAGTAGCTTAGTATGAAGCTACTTTGTGGTGGAAAGGGTTGAAAAACATTGAGATTGGAAAACACAGGACTTAAGAAGTCAGGCACCAGCTATAAAAGAAAGGGAAAAAAATGTATTTGGAGTCAGTGGTAATTTATTCATTCCATAACTGTTACTTAAATGTTTTAAGCATCAAATGTATGTGCAACAACAACCACCTAAAAGTAGGAGGGGACATAAGCCGGGCATGGTGGTACATGCCTGTAATCCCAGCACTTGGAAGGCTGAGGCAGGGAGATCACCACGAATGCAAGGCCAGCCTGAACTACAAAGTGAGGCTGTGTCTCAAAAAAAAAAAAGGGCCCGGAGATTTAGCTCAGTGGTTCCGCCACCTGCCTCCCCAGTGCAAGGTCCCAAGTGTGATCCCTGGTAAAAAAAAAAAAAAAAAAAAAAAAAAAAAAATGGAGGGGACATAAAGGCAACTTTGAAGTGGGCCCCTTTGCTCTGGGTAGAGTTCATAATCTAGTTGGGCAAGAAGTCGCAGAGTGGAATCAGGTAAGTAACAACCCAAGACAGTATAGGATTAAGTCCTAGAGAATGGTATTGCTAGTTGTCTCTAATTTCAGAAAATCTTGGTGGGCAATAACAATTGAGGAATTCTTCAGTAAAAAGGAGCTGAATTTCTACATTATTTATTTATTTATTTTTGTGGTGCTGGGGACTGAACCTAGATCTGCTCACATTCTAGGCAAGCACTGAACTGCTTCCCCAGCCTCACAGCTGACTATAGTTGAAGGAGGAGACTAAGGAAGGAATGGCCTTTCCAACCAAAAGAACTACAGCAGCAAAAACTTGAGTCAAGCTCCAGATGTTTGAGGTAGTATAACTAACTGGGAGTCATAAAAGGTGGGGCTGGATAAATAAGGAGAAGCATAGTATGAGGAGAGTTTCTGGTTAGTCATAAGAGTTTATAGGAATTGAGAAATTCCTGGAGTGTTCTAAACAAGGAAATAGTAGGATTTCCATCAGAGTGTTAATCCACAGAAACTGTATGTAATAGGTAAGACAAGAAAGAAAGGTCAGATGGGAAACTATTGCTAGAATGAGGTGTGAAGTAAAAGTGCTGGATTCACAAAGGCTCAGAAGTAAAGCATGTTATAGGAAGCTGTGTCAGGTGTCACCTGTCATTCCAGGTGAGGTGACAGACACTCCCAGGCAGTTTACCAGCATCACAGAGCCACTGAACGGGTGGTAAATATGCTTCTTTTTGTAAACTTGTTAATATAATTTTGTGCTAGTTACACTTCTGAGATGTGTTCGTTCTCAGGGGGAAAAAAAATCTGGCTTGGTGTAATAAACATTTCAGGTATAACAGACAAAACAGAGAAACATCTTTCTTGATCAGAGTATCTTGGACCATCAGTGGAAAGCACAGACTGTGAGCTTGTTATGGTCAAGATTTGTGGCTCATTGGTTTTGGTATTTATAGGTGAGTGTCTAAAAAATACTCAGTATATGTTGGTTAAATGAATTAATAAGTTAAAGGCCAATGACTGAGTAGCTAGGGAAAAATATCTAGGTTTACAATATCAAGATGATATAGAGCAAAGCAGATTGAATGATTGTAGTAGATCCCAAACTCAGTAAGACCAGGGATCTCCACCCTTTAGGTCAAGGGCATTCTCTGTTGTGTCTCCCAGAACTCTTCAAGGGTCAATCTAACCGAGCCTTGCTGAGATATTGCCTTAATTGTTTCTACAACAAAGGGGCTGTGAGGTGGTTACCCAGAATCTGCTTTTTCTCGTTTTTTAAAAAGGCAACTTTTTCACTTTTTCAGAATCTAGTAGATTATAAACTACTCCACTTAAAAAAGAGTTTCCTTCTGATTAATTCTCACTCCAAGATTTTCAGACCAGACCTTATGGGCAAAGAAAGAGACTTTAGGTAAGCTTTTCTCGAACTGGACAGGAACATATATTTTATCGTCTCATGAAAAATTGCATTAAGACAGCATCATATTACCATATTTGCATCTTTCCTTGAAAATTCCTTGAATGGATACGAATTTTGTGCTGTGTTATACAAACTCAGGTTGTATGTGTTTTGTTTTGGGGCTATTTTCACCTATCCAGAACTGAAACTCACAACTATTGAGCAACTTGGGATCCATAAAAAAATCTCTTGAAAGGTGAGAAATTATGTACAACATAAATATGTTCTGCATCTTCTTGATTTTTTTAAAAATTGCCTTTTAATAACTCAATATTACTTTTGTATGAACCAGTTATGACATTCAACAGTGTTTTATCACTTGTGAAAAACAGACTGAAAAAAACCAACAAATGAACTTAGTTGTAAGATTGTTAAATCTTTCGAGGCCCCTGCCTTGAAAGTGCAAGATCCTGAGTTTCGATCCCCGGTACCAGAAAAAAAAGATTGTTAAAACTATTCGTTATCATTAAGGCAACCTCCAACACTTAACTGACTTCTGATTCCTTGTGCTACACAATAGAACAAATTAGCGATCTAAAGGCATTAGTTTTGTAATACTTTATCTGATAACATCATGAAGAACTTTCATTGCTTATGGTTAGATATTTTGAGGGTTTTTATTATGGAAATAACTGCACTAGGTAAGTGATCCCTAATGCTTCATAGATTTTCTAGGCTAACAGTCATAGCGTTCAGTGGCAAACCTTTGTGGTCACATTGCTTTCCTGTCATTATTTGTACTGAACTACAGTGCTGGATCATACAAACAGCCTGAGTTTAGGGACCGTTGGAGAATCAGAATCTCCACAAGTATTTTTACTGTGAGAGACCATTTTTATGGTGGAAAATGCAGTTCATTCATTATACTGTTCTCGTACCAAGTACTTGCAAAAATTGAGTACCAGAAATAACTACTTCTCTTGAGCAGTTAGTTTGTTTTATAATCTTGTGGGCATTCTGAGTTATATAATTGAATATGCTTCCTGCCATTGCTGTGTTTATAGTTTAAAAGCTCAGACGCTTACTTAGAGCAAGTGCTCAATTCTGTGGGATCCATTTTGTGAATTACTTTTACCCCCAATTTATTATTTTATTTACTCTTAGTTTCTCTTTGGCTAATTATTGTATTTGCTTTATATCTTGGTATACTGCATATATTTTACAAGTTTGAGACAGGGTCTCACTGTGTAGTTCAGGCTGGCCTTGAACTCACTATGTAGCTCAGGCTGGCCTCAAACTCACAGTGACCCTCCTGCCTCAGGCTCCTGAGTGCTGGGATTACAGGCATGCACAACCACACCTGGCAAATTTTTTTTAATTTCAAGAAAGAATCTTGTTAAGTCACTAAGTTGCTCAGGCTAGGCTAGAACTTGCCATTCACCTGCCTCAGCCCACTAGAGTGCTGTAATTACAGGCAAGTGTTACCATCCCCAGCTCTTTCTAGATTTTTCCCCAATTCAATTCAAATTCCCCCCGCCCCCCCCCTCTTTCTCTCTTTTCTGAGCCTTTCTTTGCCAGTGACCCAGCAAGTGCTGAGGCTGCCAACCAGACCATTCTGCACTTTCCTTCAGTGGCATAGTGCCACAGTTCCCACAGTGCTCTGAATCTCTCCAAGTACTTTGTGTGTACACTGGTAATTGTGTAACTGTTTGCTGGGAGCTCTTTAATGTCTGTCTTCCCCGTGAGACTATTCTAAAGGGCAGCAACTCTGTGAAACTCATCAAGACCTCAAATATTTGTTGGCCTAACAATGAAAAGCAAACACATTTTAAGTGACCAGGGGAGAAATCAAGGATTCTTCTAGAGTGATAAATGGGACTTTCAAGAATAAAAAGGAGATAAAAGAAGACAGGAAGACTAAATGAAATAAGATGTGTTTTCTTGCACAGCATCAATTTAATCAAAGACTTAAAAAACTACTTGCTGGTACATGCACTTCTGGTAAGGTCAACTGATTTCCTCTAGATAATTCCTACTAAAATACAACATAAATCTGTCATTATAATCAATCTCTTATTGACAGTTTTATGAGGCCCATTCATAAAATTATAGCACTTTCCTGGTGTCCAGAATATTAAACTCTGGCTCTCTCCCTTCCCTGTCACTTCTGCCACTATTTAATTAGGAAACAAATATTTCCCGAGCATTTTCCAAACCATTCCCATTGCGCATGTACCCATGTGAATATCCTCGTAGGTCGTGCCCTCAGAAAGTTTATAATTCAGTATCAATTGGTACTAAGTTATACTTAGATAGGAACGAGACACTCTGCTGTGCTATGGCACAGCGATATGACTATAGATAATAATAATGTCATGTAAATTTTGAAAAGGCAAAGGAAGGGCTTTTGAGAGTTTTTACCATATAGAAATGATCTTTGAGAGGATAGATATACTTAACCTGATTTAAATATTATATGTATACAGATATTAAAACATTACCCAGGCTGAGGATTTAGCTCAGTGGTACCACTGCCTGCCTCAAAAGCGCAAGGTCCTGAGTTCGATCCCCGGCACCCCCCAAAAAAATTACCCCATCAACCAATATGGTTTATTTTTATGTATCAGTTAAATAACAAAAAGGTTATAACTCAAGATCTGAGGCACTGCCTCAGAATTAGATTAATGACAGTAACAATTTTATGTGGGTCATCTTGAATAAATGAAAATGTTGCAGATGGAAATATTCAGGACAATATTCACCATACCTATGTAGGAAATGACAAATGCAGAAAATAAAGAAGGTTTATAGGAATTTAAAGTTTAGAAATTCTTAGTTTCGTCACAGCCAAAGGAAGATCTATCTGTTCCCTGACCAGGTTCTCAATTATTCAGTTGTGGTGTGGTAACATGGGGTGGGGCAGTGCTTCCTGGCCATCACCACAGGCACCCAGTGACCTTGCATGAAGAAACATCCTGTCTGCACAAAAGGAGATTGCACTTTGTCTACACAAAGCAGAGTGATGGGGTGCGTGCATGTATATGTTATGCTTGTGCCTGGAGAAGATATGGAGAAGTTTTGTGTGTTTGTTTGATTGCTTAGCTCACATGATTTTTATCCAGTTATGAATAAGGGTAAAATTGAAGTTTCAACCTCCAGAGGTGATTGTTAGCTTTACACAGAGGAAAAAATTTGTGCCGTGACCACAGATTGAACCTCCAGCCATGAAATGCAACAAGAGAGCAGATAACTCAGTGGAATCACTTCCAGCATGATCAGAAAGTCAACCCAGTCACATAACGGTAGATAAGCATTATCACTGTAAGTAAAGGAGAGGTGACTGTGACTTTCTACTATCACCATGGAAAGGGTGAAAAACCCTCAATCATACTAGGAAGTTAAGCAACTTTTTCAAATTTACATACATAACCAGGTGTGGTGGCCCATGCCTGTAATCCCAGCACTAGGAGGCTGAGGCAGGAGGAGTGCCACAAATTCAAGGCCAGCCTGGGCTACATAGCGAGTTCAGGGCCAGCCTGAACTACAAAGTGAGACCCTGCCTCAAAAAACAACAATAACAACAATAACAACATCAAATTTACATACAAATGTACATGTTTTTCTCTGATGTGTGTATATATATATATATATATCTTGTATATACCTATGCAAAGATGTGTAAATATCATTTAGCCTTGACTAAACAATGATTTATATGAATAATAAATAGGCTTTACTTACTGAGTAATTAATGACAAATTTATTGGGTGTGAGGTTATCTGAGAATTCTGAATGACTTTTGTTTTTACCCTGTTGAGTTATTTAGTATGTCAGACAGGAAAATGCAGCTTTTCTCCTGTGCTGATCCATTGAATAGTACACTGGGAGAGATGCCAGTTTTTAGGTTTTCTGTATCATTCTTATTCTTAGCTGCACCTGTTGTGTTTTTATCAAGTTGCTGTTTAAACTCTGATTCAGTACTTGTTTTGGAGCTTCAGGGTTGCTCATACTAGTTTCCCTAAAATGAAAACTTTATTACTAAACCCTAAGCATGCTCAGTGCCCCTCAGCATCCCAGTGAATGTGCTTGTGTATCACCGGAAAGAACCTCTTATTTAAGGCCACTTCGTGGCCATAGCAGTCTCAGAATCTTAAGAGTCCCATTGGGGCTTTTTTCTAGAACATATGCTGGCTGAATTTGTTTCTGGTTAAAACCTGGAAGTCTCCTCTTCCTGAATTTCCCTTCCTCCTCTTGCCCTTCATGGATACTGAGTTCCTAGCCTTTCCCTGAGCTTGGGTCAGAGTCCAGGGAGATGCACCACAGTATCTGTCCTGGGAAAGTGACTGGGAGTACTTGCATTCTTCACAGAGAAGCATATGCTGCACTTGATCACCTATTTTACCATAACTTTATTATTAATAACTAATTTTGACACCATCCTCTATATCTGAGGTGAGCAAATACAGTATTGTCTGTTCTTTAATTCCTCTTTTGTCATCTGGCTCAATTTTTTTTTTTTTTTGGTACCTGGGATCAAACTCAGGACCTTGTCCTTTCGAGGCAGGCAGCGGCACCACTGAGCTAAATCCCCGGCCCCTTGGCTCAAATTTATATTGTTTAAATGTTAGAATAAAAGTCTGCTTCATCAAATGAGGCTTCTTGTAGGAAGCTGCACTTTAGCTATGATGCATTGATCACACCATTAAACACTATACAACCTTGCAACTAACACAGAAGTTTTCTTCATAACAAATGTAATTATTAATCAATGAGATCTCAGAGGAAATAATTGTGGAATAAAAGACATCTTTTGTGAGTATACAGTCTGGAGCTTGCAAAGTTGCCAAGCTTTATCTTCTTTATCTCTCTCTCCAACAAAACAGCATCTCTCTGGATGAGAGGAGAGCTACAGCATCTTAACCTTACCTGTCTTTCCTCTCTGTATCCCCAGTTGGTTTCGCCCTTCCTGCCCTGCAAGCAGCTGTCTTTACTTCATCATTTAGACAGAATGA